CCCCCCCCCCCCCCCCCCCACTCCCGGCTGCTAACGCCTTCTCTAAAGTTACCTGCGATCTGCCCTGTATCTGTCTCGCAGTTATTTATTTATGTCTCTCCTATTCGAATGTTAGCTCCCTGAGGGAAGGGACTGTTTTCCACGTTTTTGTGTTTCCCAAACTCTTAGCACATACAAGTTGTATGACCTTGAGTAATGCCTGTTAGCTTGATAACTGGTTTATGATCAATTGATTGTCCTGAGGTTTCTGTTCACAATCTTCGGGGCATTAAAAAAAAAAAAGCGCCAATCTTAGATCATGCATGGGGCATTAACTTTGGGGAATCAGGAAAAGTCTCCTGAAGGAAGTGACCACAGAAGCTGAGCCCAGGGGTTCTTAATCTGGGTTTCCTGACCTTTTTTTTTTTTAAATATATGTTGATAACTTTTCTATTATAATTGGTTTCCTTTGTAACCCTATGTATTTTATTTTACACATTTAAAAACATTATTATGAGAACAGGTCCTTAGATTTCATCAAACTGACAAAAGGATCCATGATATTAAACAACATGCATTTATTAAGTGCCTACTATGTGCCATACATTGTCCTAAGTGCAAAAAAAAAAAAAAGTTTTTTGAGAACTCACTGCCCTCATTTTCCCAAGGGATTAAATGAAACCCCTAGAGGTGAAGTGATTTGCCCCAGGTCACCCAGACGGTGATTGCTTCAGTTGAAATTGAACCCAGGTCCTCTGATTTCCAACCTCTCATTCTCCTGCAGCACCCTGCTGCTTCTATCCCTTCGTACATGGTCAATTTAGAAAAATCTGATTAATATGGTTTATTTTTGTTTACTCAGAATGAATTTAGGGAACACCTTCGAGGAGCAGACAAGAAGAAACCAAGGAAATCTCAAAGGCCCCGTAAAGAGGTTAAAGGAGGAATTGAATTCTCAACTCTGCTATTATGGGTTCTTCATCCAATTATTTCTCTGTGCCTTTGTTGCCCCAGCTGGAAGGATGCCTCCCACTCTGCAGTTAGGAAAATTAATGTTTGCAAAAAGAATTCTTCCAGGAAAAAGTGAAGAGTATTAAATGATTACTCTAACTTTTAGTTCCAGAGGTATATATAGTCAGGCAATTTTAAAATCGATCAGAAGGCCGACTGAGATAAGCCTGATTATTGAATTCAAATGGACATCTTTCTGTCTCTTTGTGTGTCTCTGTTTATCTCTCTGTCTCTTTCTGTCCCTCTCTGTGTCTCATGAATGTCTGTCTGTGCCTCTCTGTGTCTCTCTCTCTGTCTCTGTCTCTGTGTCTTCTCTGTGTGCTTCTGTCTGTTTCTGTCTCATTCTCTCTCTCTCTCTCTGTATATCTGCCTTTCTTTGTCGCTCATTGTTTTCTGTCTCTGCCTCTCCCTTTCTCTGTCTCTCTCTTTGTCTTTCTACCCCGCCTTTTCCCCACCTCCCTCCAATTCCCTATTTTTATGGATTCTATAGACATTCAGAAATATGTACTTAAAACCCATTTAAAAATTGGAGGAAGAGGCACCATTGGGTGTTGTGAATCGAGAAATAGGGGTGATGAAAGGAATGGGGCACTGGACAATCTGGCCGTCAGGAAGCCTTGGATTCCAAAGAGACCTCACCTCAGACCCTTACCAGCTGTGAGGGACAAGTTTCTCAATGTCTCTTAGCCCCAGGCAACTCCCTAGGATTTATCTTCTAAAATCAGAGTAGAGGGAATTCCCCAATCACTCTCCCTAGGTACCATATTTTTAAAGTTTACATTGCTACATTCCTATTAGCTCCTTTCCAAAGAAGTGCCATGTCTGAATCCATCACTCTGGTCAACAGGAACTGGAAAGAGATTTAAAAATCTGTTTATTTTTCTGAGCCCTCCAATCTCTTCTCTCTCTCTCTCTCTCTCTCTCTCTCTCTCTGTCTCTCTCTCTGTCTCTGTCTCTCTGTCTCTCTCTCTGTCTCTCTCTCTTTCTCTCTCTCTCTCTCACCACTGTACCCTGCTCATAAAGATAGGAGTGACCTTCTATCACCTTGAGGGTGAAATACAAACTCCTCGTTTTGACATTTGAAGCTCTTCACAAGTCTACAAAGTATTTTGTCTCACACCTCCAAATGTTTGCACAACCTGTATCTAATATCTGGAATGCCCTCCCTGCTCACTTCTCCAAATCCCAGGCTCCCTTCAAGGTTTTACTCAAGTGCCATCTCCTTTAAGAGGCCTTTTCTGATCCTCTCAGCTGTTAACAACCCACTTCCAATCACTGTGCACTGTACATAACCTATCCTGTATTTACCTATCTGTCAACATGGTGCCTTCCTACCCAGAAGGCAAGGTTGTTGTTGTTCAGCCATGTCTGAGTCTTTGTGACCCCATGTGGAATTTTCCTGGCAAAGATACTGGAGTAGTTTGCCATTTCCTTCTCTAGCTCATTTGACAGATAAGGAGGAAACTGAGGCAAACTGGGTTAAGTGACTTGCCCAGGGTCACACAGCTAGTAAGTGAGGCTGGATTTAAACACAGGTCTTTCTGACTCCAAGCTCAGCACTGCATCCACTGTACCACCAAGCTGCCCCAGAAGATAAAGGACTTGAGGGCCAAGATTGCTTTACTTTTGTCTTTATATTACAGATCTAGAACAGTGCCTGGGACGTAGTAGGTGCTTAATGAATATTTGTTGATTGATTAATTGATAGAGTACATAGAATAAATTTAATCTCTTCCACAAGACAGTCATTCATATACTGTTACACAGTCCTTAAATGTCCCCTCCCCACACACATTCACATACCACCCCCAAGCCATTGCTTCTCCAAGCTATATTTCCCTAGCTTCTTCATCTATTTCAAATGTGACATATCTGCTAATTCCCCTCTCCATCTAAATTACCCTCATCTGAGCATGATCCGGTACTGGATGAGCCATCCTGAAGTGCGATTCCCCAAACAACACAATACAGCATGTGTGGCCTGAGCAATTTGGGGTAGGGTGGAACTAATATCTTCCTG